GTAGACGTTTTTCAATACAGAATTTTCAACACAGCCTACGCCCATGTCAAATATTTGTGTAGAATATGTTCTATCCATAAAATTAGGAAAAACACAATTTACGAGTGTGCTGATTGTGACGAAATACCTGGACTATGCATAGGAGATTGTTTTCGCAAATACCATTCAACGAAAAGATACTGTCTTCAGTATATTAGTTTAAATAAAGATTTTATTTTCTAGACTTTTTAATTTTTACCTAATATCCCACTAACAATTTCTAATCTGAAAATATAAATATCTTGAAAACTTTCACAAATGCAAAGGGTAAAAAATTGAAATCGTTCAACAAAAGACTATATTTATAATTTGAATAAGCTGCTTTTGCCGATTTGACTTTCTTATTACTAATTAGCATAATAAGCAGATAATTTACATGGTAACAATCCTGTTAAATATTAGATTTTTATTTCATTGAAAACTGAACCTGATATTAATTTCTTGAGAACTTTTACATATGATAAGGGTAATAAATTGAAATCCTTCAACAAAAGACTATAACAGGTAGATACCCATAATTTGACTAAGCTGGTTTTGCCGATATTGACTTTCTAATTACTAATTAGCATAACAGGCAGATATTGTAACTGGCCACAATGCCGTTGAATATTCCGACTTTCATTTCGCTTGTTTTGAAAACTCCATCGGATATTAATTTCTTGGAAACTTTTACAATGCTGAGAGTACTAAGTTTAATCCTCTAACAAAATACTATACAGAGTATTGTTAAAATAAGTGAAATAACGTAATAAACAACAGAAGAGCTAAAAAAATACAAAAATTCCAGATCTTATTTTGTTTTTGAGATAAATTTAAATTTGAGAATTTTTTATTATTTTTCTACTTTCTTCACGTTCTTTGTTAATTTAATTTCAGTGTATAAAAGCCATTACAATATGAGCATCACGAAAAAGTACCATCAAATTTTATTTTGAAGTTTTCATCTTAGGTGTTCATAAACATTTTGCTAGGAAATGAAAATTTGTTTTTTTCCTTAGTTCTCGATTTGTTATATTTCTTATTTGATTTAATAAAAAATTAATTTAAATTAATTTTTTTTTAATAATTATAACGGCGACTTACATCCGAGTCGCTTAGCACAAATAAAGAAAATATTAGTTTTGTTCTCAGGTAATCTTCATTACTAGTATCATACAAGACACTAAAGCTTCGAACAATTTCAATAATTCCATTTTCACTGAATAACAAAAAATTGGTCAGACAAAACAAAATAACTAAGGTTAGGTAGGGACCCACGACCCACGAAACTGTGTTGCTAGCACAACTCTATCCACGCCAACCAAGTCTGTCAGTAGCCTGGCCGTGGTTTGGGATGCGTCGCTCTGTCTAAAACCACGTTTTACAAAATAACCCACGCGTGGGCTGTGCTCAATTTGCGCCGGGCCTTACTCTGAGACATAGCTTTCGATTAAAGGTCGATTCAGATACATCAGTCACGCCACAGTCTCGGCGCCGAACCGGTCCTGTTTGGTCACAGAACTTCAACTATCTGACAGCTGGCAAACTGTTCGTCAACTGATGAATGTGAATGCCGGTGCCATATTTCTATTAAAGAATATTTTGTATGACGGATTGTTCGGTTCGGCGCCAGGACTGTGATGAGACGTGACTGATGTGTCTGAATCGACCTTAAGCGTGCTTTGATCAGTACAGCTATTGGCAGCTATTAACAGATGGTACGATCACGTAAAAGAACAACAGAAAAGGCTATTTGAAAGGAGGAAAACCTCAAAAATGCTATTGAAGCAGTTCGCCAAAATGGTGTCTCGCAAAAAAAAAGAACCTACATTGTTTGGCATACCCTGAACAACATAAGGGTTAGTCTAAAGTCAAACAATGGTATTAAGCCAAAATTGAGTCGTAAATGCGTTTTTTCTGTAGAGCAAGAACAAAACTTATCAAATCGTGTGGTTAGCCTATCAAAACTATTTTATCGCATCACTACAAATGAACTAAGTTGACTGGCTTTCGAATTGGCTGAAAATCATCAAATCAAACACAACTTTAGCAAAAAGAGACCAAGTTGGCCGGGATAGATTGGTTAAGTGGGTTTATCATCAGGCATAAAATTAGTTTAAGAAAATCGGAAGCCACTCTGGAAGCTTGAACAGGGTCAAAGCATTTAATAAAGACGAAGTTGATTTTTTTTTACAAAATTTAGACACTGTAACGACTAAGTATAACTTTCCACCGAACCGTGTCCATAATATGGACGAAACTGGAATTTCCACAGTACAAAAACCGGTAAAAATTCTTGCACAAAAAGGACAAATAACAAGAACTAGGGCGAGAACTGCGGAAATCCTAACCGAGCTAGTAGCAGCAGCAAAACGAATGGGGTTACATATAAATCAAAATAAAACCAAATTCATGGAAGAGCTGGAAATGTTGACACAAATTTAATCATCAATGACCAAAACTTTGAAGCAGTCAAAGAGTTCATATATCTAGGGACATCGGTTAACCCCAATAATAACACATCTGAGGAAATAAAAAGGCGAATAATAATTGCAAACAGGTGTTATCATGGTCTATCAAAGTACTTAGCTAACAAACGTCTGTCTCAAAAAACTCGTATAAGGCTGTATAGAACGCTGATAGTCCCCGTTCTCACATATGGATCAGAGGCATGGATGGTAACGAAAACAGATGAATCCGCTCTATCCATTTTTGAAAGAAAAGTGCTACGCAAGAGCATTCACCTTTCCGCATTCGGAGCGGTCTGTGAGAACGGAATCTGGAGGCGTAGATATAACTTTGAACTGCAGAATATCTACAAGCATACGTTTGGTAGATATTACCACTATAATTAAGCGAAACCGCCTGCAGTGGGCAGGACATGTAGCCCGAGCCCCTGAATCGAACATGATAAAAAAGATTCTAACAGCGCAACCCGTGGGAATGTGAAGACGGGGTAGGCCAAAGCTGAGGTGGATGGATGGGGTAACACAAGATGCGGAGAAGATCGGAGTCGGCAACTTTAAAATGCAAACAAGGGACAGAACAGAATGGCGTAGAAAGCTTAAGAAGGTCGAGGCCCTCTAAGGGCTGTAGCACCAAGATGATGATGATGATGACCAAAAGGACAAAAGCAAGTGGGAGAAGTTACGAGTTGGGAGCATGGCAAGAATATCACTGCAGTGTGTGCCATGAGCGCTTCAGAAATATATACGCCCCCAATGTTTATTTATCCAAGGAAATAAATGTCACTTTTGTTGAAGCGAGGAGGACCTCCCGGAGCCATTTATAGATGTTCACACAATGGGAGGTCCAACGAAAATTTATATTTAGATTTCTGAAACATTTCCAGAGAACCAATAAGTCAAGTAAAGAGAACCCTGTCCTTCTGTTAACGGATAATCATGGAACCCATATTTCTTTGCCATGTTATGACTTTTGCCGTTCAAACCACATTCACGTTGTGTCGCTTCCACCCCATTCCTCCCACAGACTTTAGCCCTTAGATGTATCTTTCTACGGGCCTCTTAAGAATGTGAATAAGGGGTGTGATAATTTTATGAAAACAAATTTTCATCAAAAAATCACTCCATAGGATATTGCTCCGATATTCAGCAAAGCTTACTTGAGGATTGCTACCCTTGAAAAAGCAGTGGCAGGATTCAAAGCATGTGGAATTTTTCCGTTTCAACCAGATAAATTCAGTGAAGAAGATTTTGCTCCTGTTCATTCAGTAATAGAGCAAATAATTGTTGATGACAAGAAGGAAAATTCTGAAAAACTCAATGATACCTCTACTAAGCCACCTATCAATGAAAATCCTCATGAAAGTCCTGCTACTGCTACTGCTATCGAGATTATTAATCGTAGTCAACCGTGGACATCGTCAGAAACAGTAGATTTTTCAAAAAGCATTCTCGACATTTCACCAATGCCAACTAACAGGCACGATGCTAAACAAAAAGGTCAGGATAGAAAGCAACATTCTATTACCCTGACTTCGACACCAATTAAAGATATCCTGCAAGATGCTAAAGAAAAAAGAAAGTTGAAGTAAAAAGCGAAAGCAGTGAAACGACATTTACAGATTGCGAAAAGAACAAAAATATTGAAAAAAAAAATAAAAAAATTGAAGCAACACAGAAGGACATTTATACCTGAAGACGAGCTTTCCAAGAATAAAAAACAAAGAAAATGAAGAAAACTTCAGACCAAAATTCGATTTTGATGAAACATCGTCAGAAGATTTTAATGATGACAAACTTTGTGAGGATGATTCAAATGATGATATCTCCCTACCCACTGTGTTGGCCAATGAGGAGACATGTTTAATTTGGGGATAATTTGAAGACACTGAACTTTAGTATCGCTGTTCACTTTGCTCGAAATGGGCTCATTCTCAATGCAGTGAAAAAACAGTGCCAACATTATGTTTGTGACTTCTGTGAATAGAATAGTAGGTTGTTTTTAGGTTATGCCTTTCATTTATCATTCATTGTACTGTTATTTTTTTATGTTTCCAAATAAAATGTCAATAAAGATATTTGCTTACATGTTTTATAGAGAAGTCTTATCCATCATTTTAGTTCAGTAGGTGGCGCCATTACCCCCTAGGCCTGGGGCAATGCCGTCACGTTACACAAAAAAGTGTTACGTTTATTGTCGCTTAATCAAGACGAATGAAAAGTTTCTGAAAACTAATTTAAGTTAAAAACTTAGTTCTTAGATCGCTAGAATCCATTCTGATGGATGGAACGGTGGGCTTTTTTCTCTTGAATATCCTTAGGGATATTCGAAGAATTTCTCCCCTCGTTTTTTTCAGCAGTGTGGTGTTGCTTAAAGCCCTGGTCTTAATAAGATTAGACATTACACGACTAATAAGTAAATATTTCAATAAATACTTATGAGTATTTTTTTGGATTTAAAGTAAAATATAACAAAAGTGAAAGAATTGGGAAAAAGAAGACAACATGACTATGTATCTAAATTTAATTTAGAATTTAGACATCACAAATAATTAAAGGGAACAAATTTAATTGAAGAATTCTTAAAAAAATGTACAATTTTAATAAAAACCATTATTATTAGTCTATCTCTTATTTCTCCGCTTATGCCTATCATAGTCACTACCGCTGCTACTGCTTCTGTCATTCCTAGATTTTGATCTACTATCATAATCAGAGTCTGAAGATGAACTATATCGATGTTTGCTTTTGGATGATTTCTTATTCTTATATTTTGATTTAACATACGGTGACCGGCTTTTATCCCTATGCCTCCTTTTGTCTTTTCTTTTATGCACTCTCTTCGATTTTCCGTGATCACTATCTAAATCTGAAGAATCTTTATACTTCCTAGAACGTCGACTAAATTTTTCTTTGTCTCTACTACTACTACTTTTACTGCTAGATCTCTTATAATATTGATCATCGCCAGAAGAGTTATTGGTTCCTTCTGGCCTTGTCTTAACAATGCTATATTTTCTTTCGGCATCAGATCCTTCATCGTTTTTTATGTTGGACCCTCCTTTATATACCGTATTTGTAGAGTTCTTTTCCTTATATTCAGTTTTTATTTCTGTTTTAATTCTATTCTCGTCCATCTCTTTATATTCTTTGTACATGGCACTATCTGTAATATAAACATGCTTTTAGTGAAGAATAGTAAAATCGATACATAGAAAAGTCATATACCGTTTGTACTAATGACAAGAGTCGCTCATAGAACAAGAAAAAAGACAACTACAGAATATAATATAAACAAAAAAAAATAACAATTTTAAAGATACAAAAAAAAACTAAAATAAGCAGAAAAGTTTGAGAAAGAACTTGAGAGAACAAAATAAGAATATGAAATGCTTAAAACCGCAACTAGGAAATGCACAGATGAATAGTGTAAAGTGCAAAGATGGGATAGAAGTACACAACATAAGATATATCATACAAATATCACAAAAATATTTCTGAAATCTCTATGATTCCAACAAATGACATCAAGACGAAATTCTCTGATAGTCAAAAATAAAAATTGTTAACTCACATCCAGAACCGGCAATTAGTAAGCTTAAAATTGAAAACGCACTGTAGAGATGTTAAAACATGGAATAGAAATAACAGTTGAAGTATTGTAAGTAGAGGACTTATGGGATTTACAGATCAAAGATGGCGGATAGCTGAATGGCTAGGTATGTGTAAGTATAGAAGGAAGTCTTCCCTGGCGTCTGAGGGTTCTTGTTGGAGTAATTGATGAGAAAATGGTGAGGAGTAAGAAAATATGTAGGAGTGTTCGTTGAAATGAAACAAAATAAGTAAGTAGAAGAAGACAGCAGTAGTGCCGTCCAATAACCCAGCCGATCAGCAATTTCAACATAAATCACAGACAGGTGGTCATCAATTAATGTTATATAAATATTGTAAATTTCTGTTTTAAGTTAGTTGTAATTTAATTAAATTAGGTGTTAACAGTGTTTTGTGACTGATCAATATATCTAACAAACGTAAGTAAATATTTTTATTTACTTTTTTTTTAATTGCGTTCAGTTCAAGTCTTTTTTTATGTTTTACTGTTTTTATGTATATTTTCTTTCAATTCCAGTAAATGCACTTACGTTTCAGGCCAGCTTGTACACCTGCGTAAGTATGATTTTGTAGTTTCAGCTTTTTATTATTTCAATGCCTTTTGTCATCTTTTATGTTTTACTATTGCTATTTTACCTTAAAGACCTATAATCTACACACTAGCGTATCTGATAGTACTTATGCGTTTTTTTTTTAAATTCTGGTAACTTTATTTTTTCAGATCGCCTTTATATATTTTTAAGTTATCTTTCGTCTACGTCCTAGTCCACGTTTACCTGATTTTATAAGACGATACTATTTATTTCTAGTTTGTTGGATTTGTTGGTCCAAGATTTTCTTTCAAACTATTCTATTTCCATTTAGATCCGCTTACTATAAATTTACAATAACCAATTTTTACATATTTTTCTTTAGATTTTTATTTTTCTGACACTTTCCTTGTTTTTCTCACGATCTTTTGTGGTCATAACATGATTTATGTATATCTTCTCCTACTTAAGTTCTCTAAGCTTGTGTTTGTTTTTCATAAGCATTTCCTTTTCTTACTCGTTTCCAATTTTGATCAAGCCCTTGAAACACTTCAGGGATTTATTTTCTCTTTGATATAAATAAATATAAATTTATTTATACTATTGATATTTACTTTGCCTGATTTCTAAGTTTGACAACCTCGTAATTATTTTGTACAAGATTCGTTTCCTTATCAGTGTGCTGTGAGTTATGATTTATTTTTTATGGTTGTGTATGTTTTCGTTTGGTTTTGGCTAGGTATCACTGCTACAACTTAATGGTTTTTGTTAAAGCCATACGTACGCTGTTTAGCCTTAATTTTCACCAAATATATATTATAGTTTATCTGCCGAAACAAATTCTGAAATATATAAAAAAAAATACTCACTTATCACCTTGGAACTTTTTGAATATTCTTCCTTTGTAACAGGAACCAGCATAAACTCATTTAAGGTCAATATGTTACTTTTAAGAGAAGTTTTAACAACCACCCTTCCAGCTTCATCATCTAATCCTTGAACCTAAAATAAGCAAATTAGTGGATTAGCTAAGGACCAGCTATAAGTCACAGTGGCTTTTTCAATTCTGATATGTTCACTTAAGTTTTTTAATGTATTTTTGGCTGCTGATTACGAATTTCGAGGGTGAATTTCGGTTGGAGTAGTCAAATAATTGTTATAAACGATTTAATTTAGTAAACTTTAATCCAAAAATTAGAACTCGAGCGATTGTAAAAGTAGTGCAAAATGGATGCAAAATAAGTATTTTTCGAAACTTTCGATCGTAACTCGGCTTCTGCTTTTAAATTAGCAAATATTAAATTATTTTATCTTTATTTATATTAAAGTTATACCCATTTAAAGTTGTAATTTTCTTTAAAAAAATGTAAATTAACTTGTTTATAAGGGTTTTAAGCAAATTTAAGCAATACATATTTATATTTGAATTAACAGTGATGATAGAAGAACTTAAAGGGGACATTTTGTGTCCTTCAAGCATTGTTTTTAGAGAACCTCTCATTTTACACAAAAAGTGCTAATAAATATTTCTGTTCATTTATTCAAAATGATCCTAGCTGCATTTTTTAATTGAAAGATTTTTTTCCATTTTGCTGTGGTCCATGTCCCAGTAGCCAATTTTTCATCTCTCATAACGTAAAATCTAATTTTTATTACAATAAATTATTGTAGTTTAATCCCGTATAAATACAATATTAATATGTTCTAAATTTTTTTAAATAACTTTTTTTATATATCGTTGATAATAAGGAATATATCGTACTTCGATGCACAACCTTAATTTTACGCTTTAATTGAATACTTACTTCACAGTAACTTCCTTTGTTGTTTCCAGCAATTATTCTTGCATAACAACCTTTTTTCAATACCAGTGCTTGACCTTTATTATCTATAGCTGGTTGTAATGGAGTTTCCGAATTAATTAAAACACTTGCTCCTAATCCCAAACCTTTAGGTCTCAGATCTGGTGCTTTCACAGCTGCAATCCTAAAATATGAAAAATATACAGTTTTACGCATCTTTCCAAAAAAATAATTCAAAAAATCGTTAACCGATCACTAGATTTAGTTGTCATTAGTGAATATTTTTTATTGATTCTGATATGAGTACTAAAAGTTTAATTGTCATTTTATATTTCTAATCTAGATCCTGTGATATATCCATGTTGCACATATACAAGGTGGTCAACTTTTGTAACAAACTATGACATTATTCACAAATTCACTTATAGCATTTATAGTAAGTTACTAAATGATTATAGAAAGTTATGTGGGTATATTTAACAGTACAGTATCCCAAGCAAAAACTATGTTTAAAACTTACTTGTCTGGATTTTTTCCAATACTTGTCCATCGACTCAGTCCATCGCTATTCCAAAATTATTCTTTGGAATATTGGCATATTTGACCTAAGTTGTATGGCGTATGATTAATTAAAAAAAAATAATGCACTCTTATAGGCAATTATAATAAATACTATAAATACTACAGGAAGTGATGTGAGTATATTTAAAAGCACAAACAAGAGTAATCTTTAAAACTTACTTGACTGGATTTTTCCCAATACTCAATCCCTCTTTCCACCCCATTCCCCTGAGCATTGCTAGACCAAAATCATTCACTGGAATATTTTCATAATCAACCAACGTTGATTCCATCTTACCTTCTAAGGGAAGTTCATCTGCGTTCTTTGCAGGGACCACAAAAACTTTACTAGCAGTTATGTCGTTTTGAGCTAATCTTTGTTTTGCCTCTAAAACCAAAAATTTACTATTTTTATTTTGATCAAACTATGATTTGTTTAGGGGCAGTTTCAACAGCAGATACGTTACGTCTGCCGTAATAGTTAAAGGTTAAAGGGTTTTTTGACATATTACTTAGAAGTTTTTTTTTTAAATTAAAGTGTAAAGTATTGGTAAGTCTGATATTGTAAATTATATTTTGCATAATGGGTTTTCATCTATCCCATATGAAGAACAAATTGTTATTAAAAATAAGGGGTGTCCTTTGCCTAAAATGTCCCGGCTTATAAAATATTAGTGCGGGTAAGGGAAGTAATAGATCATTTTCAGATAATTGGTACAGCAAGTACTCATGGCTTACCGGGAGTGAAATAAAAAACATTCTATTGGTCTTGCATTTGATTTTCGACAAATAGGGGCAAACATTAAAATCTGTGGTGTGAATCTGGTTATGATAATTTAAAGGAATTATTTAGGGCTTTACATAAACATGATATTTCGAAAGATCATACTTACAGCAAGATTGAATTAGATTTATTTGGAAAACAAAATATCTATGTTTCATTAGATAATAATCACGAAGTTTTACGTCGTTTAATCGATATTGTAATTTTTTTAAGTTGTCAGGAATTATCTTTTAGGGGACATGATAAATCAGAGCATTCGTTAAATCAAGGTAATTATAGAGAACTAATAAATATGTTTAAGAAATATGATTTGGAATTTTCTAATTTACTTTCTGATTTGAAAACATTTGGCAGTGTATCTAAAACAATCCAGAATGAATTAATAGAATCAATTAGTTACATTTTGAGTAACGTTATTGAATCTGAGATTCAGGAAACCATTTGCTTTTCACTAGAAGTAGATGAAACTACCAACATATGTCATTCACAATTATCAATTGTTGTTCAATACGCGTTACGAGGTAATATCTATGAGAGGTTTTTAGGTTTTACAGACGTGAGTAAAAGCCATAAGGCAGAATATATTTTTGGTATTTTAAAGGTGTTTTAACATTGGTTACTATTAATAATATAAATTTTATGAAATAATCTTTAAGTCTAATATTCCACAAATTAATAATTTTGATTAAATATATTAGACAATTGTACACAACTGATACAGAAATACTTCAAATTTTATTGACAGTTAAGCATATGGCAAAAGTGTATAAAATGTTGCCACTTTTTTAGAGTAGGAATTTTGTTTATGTTTTGACTTCTTACACAATATAATCATAATATAATATATATTAATAAATTGTGTTTATAAATACATATTAAATTTGGATTAATAGCTTTAAAAACTAATTATTGTTGTGTATTGTGATTGTGATATGCCAAAACAAATAAATAGTCTGTAGAAAGATGATAACCTTTTATATAAGACAATTTTGAACAAGAAATAATGGCGGGACGTTTTTACTATTAAAGCCCTAAAAGAGGTAAGTTTAAAATTTAGGTTGAGTTTACCGAAAGTACAAGCTGAATATAGCCGCAAATGTCAAAAATATTTCGATTTGGCAGTGTTGGCATGATTTTATAATGAATATGTGTATACTTCAAATATGAAGAGATAAAGCTTTTAAAAAGTACATTTTGACTATACTATTTTATGAATTCCACAATTTTTTATTTTTATGAAGCAATGACGGGTAAATATTTGTCTCTTTCGAGATTAATTGCAAACATCTGGCAACTGCTGATTTGATGATTGCCAAATCTATCCCTTCATCTATGAAAGGCTAATTGCTAAAAAAATGTCTAATAATTAATTGCAATTAATCTCCAAAAAAACAAATATTTACTCATTTTTGTTTTATATAAATCAAAAATTGCAGAACTCATAACATAATACAAACAAAATGTACTTTTCTAAAGCTTTATCTTTTTATATTTGAAGCATACAGCATCTACATTATAAAAACATGCCAACACTGCTATATCAAAATTTTTTGTTCCATGTTTGATATTTGTGGCTATAATCAGCTTGTACTTTCAGTAAACTCAACCAAAATTTAGAATATATAATTTTGTATTAAAATGTTTTCTTATGTATTTTGATGTGTTGCAGTAGTATTAAAACTAAGTGTATTTACTGTTAATATAATAAAAAAATTATTAAAAATCCTTTGTAAAAGGTATATATTTAGGCCCAAACGGGCTAAGTTAAAAAGACAAAACGTTTTCGGAATCCATATTCCATCATCAGTGTCTAAGAGTACATGAATGTAGCCACTAAATGCATGGGTAAAAACCCGTTAACAAATAATTAATTACATTTAGTTTACAAATTTTCTTAAACTGTTTTAGGGTGTTAAAGTTACTGCTGGATTAGGTAACATGGCGACATATGACTCCACGTTGAAGTTGCTAGTCTTGAGACAGTGTGTCTACGAAGACTATAAGTTGCTCCCATACAGTCTTCATAGATTAGCAACACTGTCTCAAGACTAGCAACTTCAATGTGGAGTCATATGTCGCCATGTTACCTAATCCAACGGTAACTTTAACATCCTAAAACATTATAAGAAAATTTGTAAACTAAATGTAATTAATTATTTGTTAACGGGTTTTTACCCATGTATTTAGTGGCTACATTCATGTACTCTTAGACACTGACGATGGAATATGGATTCCGAAAACGTTTTGTCTTTTTAACTTAGCCCGTTTGGGCCTAAATATATACCTTTTACAAATGATTTTTAATAAATTTTTTAATATATGGTATACAGCCAACTACAGGAACGTAGATTCCTTGTGGGTTAATATAATAGTTTGACAAATAGTTGACATTTTAAAAATTCCTCTCTTACTAACTATTCTGATGTTTTGGCAACACTGTGGGGTTCTGACAATGTAAATATTGAATGATATGCATGATATGATTTTTTATATGAAAAATGCTATATTTATATAGCTGAGTTACATCCCATTTGATAAGTCATGATATATTACCTGATAATATAACATTAGGTCACTGAATCTCTTGTGATGTGGGATAGTTGTATATAAATGCATTTTTAATGCACTATGTTCAGTATTGATTAAGCCTTATTCATTCTCCATTACACTCCATTTTGAATATTATTGTGTCTTGCCAAATAGTTTTTAGTTTGAGTCAATGTAAATTATTTATTCTTAACTAATGTTGAAATAAAAACTTATTTTGTTTCTAATTTTATTGCCGCTAGTAATGAGCCAAAATTTCACTGACAAAGGCACCCCTGTCAGGCGATATGGACTTGTTTTAAATGCTGTTGTGCTAAAAGCATATAGTAAGCTGTCAGAATATTGAGACTTTGTGATAATTATAAAGTCAGACCCTCTTTGTGAAACTTTGCCTATTAATTGAAAGAAATATACAGTGATATTGATTAATTCTTCAACCTCAGTTCAGAAAAGACACTGAAAATTACATTTAAACACATTTCGCATTTTTAGAGATAAATTGTTTCTATTTTCTCCTACAGTTGTGACTAGCTGGTTAATAAGTCAAAATAAAGATTTATTATTGTGCATTTTTACCTCTGGTACTTATTAATTTGGTAGCAGTCTTCTAAATTGAAGAAAAATATTTCAATCCATCTTATGTGTGTTAGATTGGTACAAGGATCTGCACAACTAGGTATATCTTGTTATAATGATTTTTTAGTCTGTTTTACAACAGAGTACAACATTTCTAAAAATACGAACCTCTTACTATCTCCCGAGCTGCCAATTCTTCTGTTGTTAAGTCAGAATCAGGTCTGTTGTCTTCAATTGAATCATTTCCATTCTTTGTAGTGTTTTTTTGTTTGGCTTTCATATCCCTAACTCTTTGTAGCAGATCTTTCTGATTATCCTTTAGGGGTATAATTAAAGGAGCTTTCTCAACTTCTTTTGATTCACTAAAAGTCATAAAGTACCACTTTAATATTTCTGTTAATACAACTTATTTAGAATGTATAATAGTGTTGGAACAGTTATTTTATAATTGTAGACAGTATCAGTTTGTATTAATGTATTTTGATAATAAAAGAACATTACCTAATAATCATAAATACTAAAATTTTAGTTTTACATCTGGTAACCTATAGCCTAATAAAATAGTTACTTACTCCTTCAGTTTGACTGATTGACCCTCTAAACTGACAATATAATCAACTTTTTTATCTAAGGGTTTGTTAAAAATCAATGGTTTTTTATTCGTTTTGCTAAATCCAAAAGAAATTTTCTTTGAAGGGTCCATATTTCCGAAAAACTTTATATATATAACTTTATATATTTATAACTGCTGGTAAAAGTATATAAATATGATAAATATAAATAAATCAGAACATTATTGACAATTGACATCATCCCATCGAGCAATAAGACAAAAGAGGGAATCTTATCCTTATGAAAAGGAGACCAAAAAAGTGGCCTCTGATGGCGGACATATCCGGAAATGCGAATGCGCCAAATTTAAATTTTCCGACACTTATCAACAGTAGCTATATAATATTTCGCAGAATGTGTCTTAGACGAGAAAGTTTTAATTAATTATTAATGATAAGAGTCTAAAATGCGACACAATTGTTAAAAAACTTCAATATAAATAAGATTTCGTGTGACATTTGGGACAAACAATGACGTATAATATATAGACTACGCAGTCCCCTATTCTCGCTATAGAATCGAGTGTCCGAAAGATCTCGGCTCAAGGTTGAAGGTATGTTTATCACAACAGCGACGTGCTCATTTATATGTTAATGACAATAATTATTTTTTTAATTAAAATTAAATATTTATGATTTCTATTTGTTCCCGTCTATAAGAGAAATAATTATTCTGATAAAATAGTATGGCATTTTACTAAAATAGTACGTAAATAACTTCAACAATTTAAAATAAAATTTGCTTGTCACACACAATGGAGAAAATGTTTTCGTACGTCCATGATGTTTTCAAACACAAGATCACAGAATAATAAACAAATTGTTTATTATTCTGTGACAAGATCAACTTCGTGATGCTTCGTAAGAAATCATGAACTTCGTGCATCTTCGTATCAAAACAATAAACAATAACAAAGGTATTCATGTTTTGGACACTTTTTAAAGCGTTCACCGAGTCTATATATTATACGTCATTGGGGACAAACAATGACGTATAATATATAGACTACGCAGTCCCCTATTCTCGCTATAGAATCAAGTGTCGGAAAGATCTCGGCTCAAGGTATGTTTATCAAAACAGCGGCGTGCTCATTTATATGTTAATGACAATAATTATTTTTTTAATTAAAATTAAATATTTATGATTTCTTTTTGTTCCCGTCTATAAGAGAAATAATTATTTTGATAAAATAGTATGGCATTTTACTAAAATAGTAAGTAAATAACTCTCAACAATTTAAAATAAAATTTGCTTGTCACACAAAATGGAGTACGTCCATGATGTTTTCAAACACAAGATCAACTTCGTGATGCTTCGTAAGAAATCATGAACTTCGTGCATCTTCGTATCAAAACAATAAACAATAACAAAGGTATTCATGTTTTGGACACTTTTTAAAGCGTTCACCGAGTCTATATATTATACGTCATTGGGGACAAATAATAACATAACCCAACTAAATTTGATGTCAAATAAGGAGAGAGACTCTCTTTCTTTGTTTAATGTGGCCTCTAAAGATCGCACTTCCTGTCTAACAATATGTTTGCCCCCACTACCTTTACATTGCCCCTTTTGTCTTTTTGCTCGATCATCATCCCGAATACGCTGTGGTGAAGATAGCTACAAGCGTGGCTACAATACAAGCACAGAATGCCCACTCTCCATGGAAAATTAAGTACGCGCATCTCCTTCGCGCTGTGGTCTTAGCAAAGAATATAGACGCTTAAGCGTCTATATTCTTTGGTCTTAGTATCATGCATGATACTAAGACTTCCAAGATAAACCCACTTCGCAATCGAATTATGTACGTCGACGCGCCTGACGTCACGTGGTGATAAAAGTCACTTTTATCACCAACCTTTTATCATCACCGTGGATAAAACATATATGGAAAGAGAGGGTTTGTATTTAAATATTTAGAATATTAAGGGATATTAGGTAAAATATCTGCAATTAAAACTTAAAAATATGATATGTTTACATCTCTGTTAGCCTAGCAATGTAAATTAATAGAATTTAAATAGATAATAAAATGATATAAAAAAGTAGGAACTCAACATCCTTTTCGAAATGGAAATTTATATACAATGGATTGATTTAATAAAGTACACTGTAATAATTTACAGTTTATTTAACAATTTATTTTACAATTTTTAATATTTTCTTGTTCTTAACTTTGGATGTTTCTTTAATATATCTATTCAATTTTCTAATTTTAAAATATAATTTACACCTAACAAAAAGATGTTTGACATCTGCACTTACGTTTACTATGAAAAAAAAACATTACATCTGAACACAGCTAAATCCATTAGCGATTTTAAATAATTCTTGGTTAATTTTAATGACCCTTTGTTAAAATTGTTAAAAATATGGTCCAGTTCATTATATTTCATTAGAAAATCTGGATATGGTTTAAGTAAACCTCCTTCGGAAAGATGGTTTATAAGGCGGAGTCCCATGCATCCGATTTCCGACGACACGATGATCCGAAAGTATTCTCATTGGTCAAAATCGAATCAGAATATTTTCGCGCCGAATTTAATTCGAAATTTTTAACTACGCTTCCGACATCGGATAAAGATAAAATTATTTTAACTTTTTCCGACAAAACGGATGTTTTGTAACCTAAATTGTATTCTAATAGTTTAACATCTGTACATTTATTTTATTGAAACATGAATTTTAATCGAAGAAGCTATGTTCGTAAAGTTAATAAAAAGCTGTTATTATGTCTGCTTCTTTTAATTTCTAAAAAAATATATATATAACGTACAATTCGACAAAGAAAATATTGGGTTAGTTAAATATTTAAGGAAAAAAAGTCACAAGGGGCTTTTAATAAATCTATTGCACTCTTGCAGGAAATGAAGCTAAATGATGTTGACAAATATTTGCAATTACCTTAGAATGCGTAATTGCACATTTCATAACCTACATAGTTTCTTCTACGTTATCCATTATAAACTGAGTAATTGAAAGCAGGAGAAGGGATTATTTACCATGCTGAAATAATCCCTTCTGCTTTTTACTACGCAAAAGTGGTAAAATAGCAATTACCAGCCAAACCACCAAACATCCAAACAATAAACAAAAAATTGACCGTTGACAGTTTATACGGATTTTCGTATCCGACAATCGCATCCATGTGACTAGCTTCCAAATAGCAACTACGAAACCATACGATTTTCGTATGTCGGAAATCGGATACATGGGACTTCCCGGTTTGTCAACGTACAAGATAAACGATAAAACAATACTAAATCTGACAAAACTCCATACAACACAGAACATTTCTGGTGACATTTGTCGCCAAGTGACGTCACACGACTGATCGCATGCGCGTGGGCAATCTTTAGTTTATAGTATCATGAGTATCATGTGTGTTATGTGTTTCCTTCTAAAACATGGCGAGCTTGCTGAAAAACTTCAAAGGCGGCATCTGGGAGTGGGCATTCTGATTGTATATTATTCTGTGATACAAGCTACAAAAAAACTGAAATTGACAGAGATGGAACGTCCACAGAACGAGATTTAAAACCATCGAGTTATGTTTATACTCGGTTCGCTAATCCCAGTCCGAAATGTCCAGTGATTATATATATATATCATAGTAATTATGTTTTTACGAAGTTAGTTACTTTTTGACAGACTAGAAGTGGCTGGAAATTACTATACAACCAAGCACACCTCTTTTGCAAACTTATATTATGACTTAGAAATTTATAGCATGTATAAAGAAAGTAAGTTTTTATTATATATATAAAACATATATTTTATGAAAAATTTACGGTAATTTAGTTTATATCGTTAGGTTGCGCCAAATGTAGGCAACCAACTGAAATATTTGGTAGCATTTATCTGGAGTTTCTTGAGAACATATTTAATATTTTCCAGTTAATTTATTATTTTTTTAAAAGTGATGATAATAATGCTGAATAAGCAATTTTTCAAATGATATACAATCACAAGACGTACTCAATATTGTGTTATATAATCCTCATAATAAACTACGTTAGATAAAAATATAATATTCATATTATAATTACAAAATATCATTCATCAAAAATATAATCCAATATCATCAATAATATAATTAAAAAATATCATAATATTCTATTATTCCTATCAGAAACTAGTTTGGACGACTCGGGAATTTACCTTTTTTATTTAACGTACTTTATTATGACGATTATATAAAACAATATTAAGTACGTTTTGTGATTAAATATCCTTTGAAATATTGCTTATTCGGCATTCTTATCATCACTTTTAAAAAATAATAAATTAACTGGAAAATATTAAACGTTTATTAGAAATATTCTCAAGAAACTCCAGGTAAATGCTAACAAAGGTTTATGCTGGTTGCCTACATTTGGAGCAACTTAACGATATAAACTAAATTACCGTAACTTTTTTATAAAATATATTTTTTTATAATAGCAACTTTATTTATACATGCTATAAATTTCTAAGCGAATTTAATTTTTGACGCCATGTCAAACTGAACTGGATGTTAACTGAAATGTTTTTGTTATTAAGAACATATTTACATAATTTCATAAATATATTTTAATAATCAACCTACGCCGAATGAGTAAATAATTAACAAATATAGTTGGTGTTTTGAATAAATCTTTATGCAGTACTGTATCAAACGTTTGATTACCTTTTAATTTAACAGCATCCTTACTCATCTAAAAATATTAACTTTTAAAGAACATTTATCATATTTATTTAAGAAAAACTTACCGAACTTACCAACGCATTATCTGATAGAACAAATGGAAAACTTTGATTATCCCTAATAATAAAATTCAAAATAGAACTAACTAAGTAGCTAAATAGAACTAACAAAGAATTAAACAAAAATAATCGAACAACAAAACTATATTAGCTAAAATAAACAACGTGAATAATACAAATAGTTACTACAATATGTTAAATTGTAACAATTAAAATATTATATTTTAAATATACAGGGAAAATTTGATGGGTTTAGTATACACTTTCACTATTTCGACTAATTCTTCTTTTTTCAAAGAAAAAAGTCTCCAATAGTAGTATACTTAAGCTAATAATACCACATAATACTGAGAAGTAGGAATTGTTGTGTTGTAGGTTTTCGACAATGAATCTGTTAAAATATGCTCGAGCCACCCCGAGCTAAGCGAATGGAGTATAAAACGCATACAGAATAATCCAAAACAAACAAGGGAAGAATATAAGTGTAGGTGGACACTGATTGCTGAAGCAAGACAAAAAGTGTCTACTCCCCAAGTAAACTGGGTAAAGTCTAGGACATACTAGCGAGTAGCGAGCGATAGGCGAGGCCAAAAAAAGAAGAAGAAGAAGACTGAGAGGTTATAAATATTTTAAATTCTATATAATTTCCCTTTAATTTATTCTTTATACATATTTTTAATTCAAATATCTTCTCTAAAATGAATGTAAAGGAATTATTAAAAAACCGTATAGAATTTCCAAGAAAAGAAGGTCCTATCCGTTGTATATTTTTTTGTGAATTTCATCCGACTGCTGGTCCTATAATATCATGTCAAGTAATTAAATGAAATACCTGTGCATTTCATATTTTCATGACTTTATTTTGTAGGTCCCTGAAAACTATATATCTAAAGAACTATTTGATAGTATTAGTGTTTACATTATAACAAAAGCAGAATTGCAAAGAAGTGTCATAACAGTGTAAGAATAACAATGCTTTTCTAATTATTGAATATTAAATATCAATATTTTAGAACACTTCAGGACTACAAAATCCTTGGTTTTCCTGTTAGAATCGATGATAAAGACAAATATATTAGAAATGCTTTTCACTTTAATTTATGTTTTGTCTGTGACAGTGATGCTAGGACAGTACAGTATGAATCAGTTGTTCAGAAGTTTTCAGATTATTTAGTGGCGAGGGAAATGGAAAGTGATTTTTTGTCACAAGGGAAAATGACAAAAATTAAGCTGACACCGATACTGACTCAAGTTAAGGAGGAACTAAACACCAAAGGTTTGTAGTTTTATTATTGTATGTGTAATAGAATAATTGTTATTGTAAATTTATGCTGTTAAGAACAGTATGTGTCATTACCACATAGGTACTTAATATTCCTAATGTGAAAACCTCCTAATTTGATGAAAGACACAAAACTAGTTTATTATTATTAAACTTATTTCATCATTATGATAAGTTTTTATCAATCATATTGTTACAAAGACAATCCTCTTTCAAATAATCCTATGTATACAGCAGTGTTCAAAGTTCTGTTTTTGTTTTCATTGACTTATAATAAATGTACCTATTCTTAACAAGTTTTTAAAAATCTGCAACAATATACAGGGTGTAGCATTTAAACTAAATAAATTGAGCGTATTTCTGGTGAAACTGGGAGTAGAGTAGTAACAAAAAAGATGGCATTATGGAACATGGCACGTCCCAATGGCTAATCAGTGACATCCTGTGTAAAAATAAGACATGTGTAAATAAGGTATAACCAAATACACATCTGTAAATTAACTGAGAATATGGCATGGGGGCTGCAGCTATGTATTACTGTAGATTTATCATTTGAACATGAAACTATGAGCTTATAGAGAATTCCAAACATCGCTTTAAAAGCAGCCATAGAAGAATTACCGGCAATGTTTCTGGAGGTTTACAATACATGCCTCAAAGAGAGTACTTTTCACACATAGGGACGCAACAAAGGTTAGTATTCCTCCCAAAAGGAAAGAAACTACCAGATGAACTATCATCTTATCGTCTGGTCTGTATGCTGAATACAACTGGCAAGATCTAAGTGATTACATGGACCAGCTGGAACAGAGGTACAAAGAGGTAATGTCTGGTGGCAACATTGGACATCAAAAATACTTTCAACTCCGCCAACTAGAACTGCATTATATGAGCTCTTACCGAAATTAGGTTATCGGCGTAGGAGTACCATCTCTTGTGAAATATTGTGTATGATGGTGAACATCGCAAAACACCTTCAGGAAATAAATTTCACTTCTTTGAGTACCGTGCCCTAAGTAGGCGTGGGTAACTTTCATGACTATTTGCCGATATTGTTCTCGATCTTGCAGCGCATGACTCACAATTCCATAAATCTGTCGTTCGACATCATCTTCAAGAGAATCTGCCAGTGGATGAACACAGTCAATTTAAAACTAGCGATGCACAAAACTACTACATGGATTACATACTACTATGTGACTACAAATTGGATTCAGATGGTGCAAAATCGGACGAAGTGGAAAAACATGCGAGAGGCCTATGTTCAGCAGTGGACGTTAGAGGCTAGTTGATGATGATGAATCACTTGAATAATTATAAACTACTGCAAATTTGTTTCTTTAACACAGCTGTTGTAGTAGCGTGTTCATCACGTGAACGACCTGGTAAATTTCATTAGTGGTAATACAAATAGTAAGTTTGGCAGATTAAAATTCAAAGCAAAGGGCGAGTTCTGTAATTTTCTCAACATTATTTGTATGCTAAAGAACGAGTTTGGGAAATTCTGATTATATCATTCGATTCCTAGTTAAAATTGAAATACTTAAACTTATCAAAAAATAATAATTTTCGAAACTTTTGTCGATTAGCAAGTTTTGCAAATAATGGCCTCATATTATAATTACCTCTCTTTTACAACTCTTTGATAATATAACTGAGTGTTTCAACAAAGTGATTACAAAACAATTGTGTTACATTTATTGTAATTCTGTATATAAGAATTAAACTATGGACAAGAAAATAAATATTGTGCTTGTTATAGGAGAATGTGCTTTGACTGAAGGAGCCACAACTACCCATCTAAAAGTATGCAGAATAAGGCTTGATCCATCTCCAGTAATGGATCACCAAGTTCCAATATTCATAAGAGAACTTCCAGAGCAACAATGGGATCTGACTACTCAGCAAGTTACCCCATATATTGATGGCTTTAATCACGTAGCAAAAATAGCTACACTTTCAGATGTGGAGAATAATCTAGTCAAAGCTTGTGTTCAGAATTTGGTTTATTATGGAATTGTTGCTCTGGTACCATTGTTTCAGTATGGCAATGTGTATTGTACAACTCCAAAGTTGAAGATGATGGCACAAGATGTTGACTTACAAGTAAGTTACCTAGGTTTTTGTTTTTCTATAGATTGATCTAGTCAATAGAATATTCTCACTAATTAAAGATCTCTTCGGGTGCTATATGGATATTTCATAAATTATAAAACTTGTGTTAAAATGGTCTAAAATATTGCCCCTAAATGGCTAGAGCTCTTTAAGACTAAAAAGCTCTTTATCATTATATAAGGGTAACCCAATATTATTAAAAATCCTTTATAAAAGGTATATAATTTAAAAACCCAATCGGGTAATCACAAAACATTTTTTTCTGAATCCATATTCCATCATCAGTGTCTAGATATATATGTATGTAGCCACTAAATATGTGGGTAAAAACCTGTTGAAAATTATTCGTTTAAATTTAGTTTACATTATGTGTTATTAATTATTATGATGTTAAAGTTACCGTAAGATTTGGTAACATGGCGACATATGACTCCATGTGAAGTTGCTAGTCCTGAGACAGGTGTGTCTACGAGGACTTTATGAAAGCAACTCAGATTTGTCAAATGAGCGTAGTAAAATATTTAATTAAAAATTTAAATTAAAAATCCAAATAAATTACAATAAGATTCAGAACTTTTTCGGATTTATCAGTCCATTTTCAGTTCTGAACCTAAAAAGTAAGTAAGTCGCCACATATTATCCACTTCTAATTTCACTTCCCTACTTTCCGACTTTTGATCTATTACTATGTCAATTCGCAATCAATTGTCTTTGCATTTTAAAAAAATCTTGTTTCATTACATACCTACAGCGGCGGCCGGCCAGGTGAAGTAGGTGAAGGTGAGGTTCACCAAAAAAATATAATTAAATTGAGACAAATAAATAAAAAATAAAAGCAACATTATTATATCTAAATTCTGAAATTAATTATTTATTCTCTTTTAATTAATCTAAAAATTAAAAAAGATAACTAGCTTTATTAGCGGTACGTACTGGACAGTAAGTCCAAGTTCACGGTTGCCATGCCAACGTGACGTCACCCTGTAGTTAGTGATAGCTGAGAAAACAGGGCACTGTAGATCAATTGAAAAATAAACTATATGTCTTCACCCAGTACTTTAATGTGTATGTAGTATTCCTATTTTTCGGAAATTTCTCTCAGCAACAATATTTTGAAATTTAGTCTATTATATAGATATTTTTTATATAGTATAGTTTATGAAGTGTATTTTTTAGTTTAGTTTAGTTACAGTATTAAGTTTATTTGTTTAGTGCACTTTATTATAAGCCCATCGACTTAATCTTGTTTTGCAACAGAGCTCCAAGAAAAGATCAAAATGTTGAACTTTTTTTGCAACTATTACCCCCACTGGAATCCCATTGTTTCATCATAGTTCAGCAAAACGATCGTACGCTCTTGCATCTACATCGGCTAGACGTATGCCAACAATTACAGAGACAAGATGGCCGTCTAATTCAAAATTAATTAGTGTAATTATTGAAGACTGGGGAAAATTAAAAGAGGTTTTTGATAAAATAATGAATTCTGAAGAGTGGGCGGCTGAATCGAAGCTAAACAAACCCGTTTTACCAGGCGTGGTGATTTAATCGCCAAAAAACCCTCAATGAAATGTCGAAGGTTCAGAATTAAAATACTCCAGTCAAGCAGAATGAATCATATCTAGTATAAGTGCCCTAAAATACTGCGTTCAAGTTATTAGAGCCCCAAATTCTACATTATTTTAACGAATTTTTAATGAGACGCGACGTAGGTACCAAAACTCCTTTCGGCTCCAGCAAGGTTTCCTCATCTTCACCACTTTTTTTTAGGCCATGAGCCGCCGCTGCATACCTACTCATGACATTGTTGACAAATAACAACAGACAATTTCTTTTCCATTCATTTTGTTTAACATCACAATTTAGTCCGACAATTAATTATTTTATATTCACTTTTCTATGATTTCCAATCCATACATTTAACTGACACACTGCCACTTCAGGAATCATTAAGTTTTTCATTATTACCTTTGTCAATTTTACGTTTTTCAAACCAACAATTTTTAACTTCACAATTTTACATTACCAACTTATAGCATAACTATACTTCTTTCTATTCTTAACACTACCACATTTTTTATCTAAAAATCCCTCTAACGTTGATTCAAAAATAAAATCTCTCTTTTCATTTATAAAATATACCATTTTTTTTTTCATTTATAAAATATAACATTTTTTTATTACCAATAGTCTTTATTAGTAATACTTAGTACACACATTTTACCAACCAATTAAAAAATATTTATATTACTATAAAAGTACAATTTAACTTTCTCTGAGACATAGACAACCTTCTTTACAACTCACCAATAATTACTACATAATGCCGTATAATTGATTACATTTAAGTATGAAATCTACAATTTAAACCCAACCAGTGTTTGATTCTTTCGGTTAGTAGCACAAGTACTCCAAAGTAAGTAACCTAAGCCACATTTTTCATTTAACAGTTATGATTTTACATTCACGTTACTTATTGAACTTATTGAAATTACTTACTTTTTAGGTTTACTGAAGATGGACTGATAAGTCCGAAAATGTTCTGAACTGTATTATAATTTATTTGGATTTTTAATTGTAATTATTACTTGAGGCGGTCGACGTGAAAAGGACACATAGGCTTGCGTTCCCTTTTTAAGCAGAATGGCTATTTAGGTCCGTCATCTTTTCCCCTTTACAATGGTATAATTTTCATTTTTTATCTTTAAAAATATGGTTGATGGAACTGTTTGAATATTAGTGTGCAGGATATTTTTTTAGATATGTGATTGTTTATAAACGATTTCTGCAGGTGTTTTGTATAGGACGGTTATTTATCGCTTCTCATTTGTTTCGATTACTTGTCATGTGTCATATAATATTAATATATTATAGTGAGGTTAAAGTATCGGTGTTGTTATTCTGATAAGTTTTATTCTATTATTATATTATTACATCGAGTTTTAGTCTGATAAGAACTATGATACATAATGAAGAATATAGTGATGATGTTCAAGAAGTTAATAGTTCTGATGGGAAGAGGAAAAGGAAAGTGATCCATAAACAGAAAAATAAGAAACAAGAAACCGATAAATTACGGCATGTTCAAGGTTAAGAATACGTATCTGTGTCAGGAAAGCAGGTTAGTTCCAAGTCATTCAATTTAGTTACTGACTGCTGCCAGAACAAATGCCACGAAAATCTGCCTCTTGATTTTCAAGTAGAGCTTTTTGATTGCTTTTACAACTGCCAGAACAAAAGTCTACAAGATAGCCAGTTGTCTAGCTGTATGGACTAGGGATGTGTAGTTCACCATCGAAATAGTTCTAATGAACGATTCTTTCAACTGAGCTAATTGAACTAGTTCATTAATTTTCATAGAATTAGTTCACTGCGAACGATTTGCATTATAAATTATGTCTCGACTTCTAAAGAAGAAAATAATGAATGAATGAATTAGAACATATATTTATTATTTTGTGAATGGATGGACTAACTAGTTTAAAAAAAAATGCCGATTAGCCTCAGATAACAGATTCATAATTCTTATGAATGTGACAATACCATAAGGTCTTAGACAGGCCATTCACGTTCTGACTTGTGGTCCCACTTAGTAGGACTATTAGTTGGATGTTCGTCTCCACTCACTCTCCGACTTTCTATCCAACTAGCGGTCCAACTTTAGTTCTAGGTTATTTTCACGATGGTGTACATCGCTTAACCAAAAAATGTATCGAATAAACACTACGCAAAATATAATTAGGAGGAGGAAAATGACAGCATTGTGCTTGTTATCTTTATATGTATGTTATGATATGTATGTTTAAAAATTAGGTTTCGTTTCTCTAGGTATTTGTCTAGGGCTGAACTAATTAATTTTTTCAACTCTTGATTTTTATGACGTTTTAAGATGTAGAAAAAAATTATAGTTTTTAAAGATTTGTGTACGTATGAAATCTATATTTGATTTGTTTTGAACTGGAGCCGGGATTTATTTTAATGTGTGTATGTCGTATATTTTTAATAGGAATAATTTTTCGTGCAACTGAAAGTTATTTTCTATTATTTTTTTGCGAACTAGGGATCTTTTGCTACAACTATGATTTAATTTTCATTGTTTGTTAATAATTCTTCCGTAGCCAATCCGGAGTATCGGAAATTTACCTGCGTGTGAATGTCCGAAATAGATCTACAGAAAGGAAAATGATTTGCCCTAACAAAAAGGTAATTTTCGTGCAATTGAAAGTTTATTTTCTATTAAATATTCGCGAACTAGAGATCTTTGCGTAAAGTATTTTTATAGAAATCTCATACGTAACAGGTGCCGAAGGCCAACTAACTGAGGAAATTTTCGATCCAACCTGTGATCCGACTTCCAACTTCACCATTCACGCTCCGACTTCGTCGCCAGTCGGAAGTCGGATCTTTAAGTCGTCCCACTTGATGTTCCGACTCGTACCACTAGTTGTCCAACTAATCCAACTAGCCCACTCACTGTCCGATTTCAGATCCAACTTCAGAAGTTGGACCACTAGTCGTACCACAAGTCGGAACGTGAATGGCCTGCATTATCTTAATGTCATAATGGTTTGGATCTTATGTCCATATATTGGCTTGGATGTTGCCATGCTGTGTTATTTCTTGTATTGTAATTTTGACATAAAAATTTTAGTTGTGGTTAAAATGATTGAGGCATTTACATAAAATATAATTTTATGTAAAAGTGAAAATGAAAATGTGTTATTTAATGTTCCTAGAAAATTGACTGATTTTTTTTGTAAAGGTTCTTTTAGAAATAACCTAATTATAAATACCTATGAGTTTAAATATACGTAAATATAAAAAAAATCATACTTGAACCATATTTATATTTAAAATGGTTAATAAAAACAAATCTTAATAATTTTTTGCAAATAAAAACTAACTAATCAAATAATAATTTATACGATCGAATGAAATAGTTCCGAACTATTTGTACGGTAGTGAACTAGTGAAAGACTGACTGAAAGAAATAGTTCCGAACTACTTGTACGGTAGTGAACTAGTGAAAGACTGACTGAAAACCGAAGTAAACGGGCGGCCAGCGCCGAGCTTGTGTGATGATTGAGACGAGACATCTGGCAACCAGTTCTGTTAGGGTTGGATTTCGATGTCGGTCCTACAAATAGTTCTTTCGCGAACTAGTTCATTTTTTGAAATAGTTCTGTTGAACTAGTTCGTCTAAAAGCATTAATAAGCACACCTCTAGTATGGACCTGGCTAAAGATCCCAAAAGTAAAAGGAAATCTCTTAACCCAAAAAACCCAAGAGATCACGCCTGGGCCTATGAAATGTCTTTAAGAGGAAACACTGTTTTAGTGTGTCGCAGGTTTATTTTGGACTTGTTTCAAATTTCAATAAAACGCATACGGATTATTAAAAAAAAAGATTTTGTTGGGAGATTCATTTGAAGAAAAAAGAGGAAAACATTTGAATAGGCCCAGAAACATTTCAGATGACGTTGTTGTGTTAATGGGGGATCACTTGGCTAGTATACCCCATGGTAAAAGTCATTACTGTAGAAACAAGAGTAATTAGCAATACTTTGACAACACTTTGTTAAATATAAAATCATTGTATGGGTTGTTCCAGGCCTTTTTTAAAGAAAAAAAAAAAGGAAATTCTCAAGATGTCTTATAAAACATTATCAGTACTTTAAAACTAAGTTTTCCTATTCTGTTCGCAATCCTAAAACAGATATGTGCGATTATTGCCAAGAATGTAAGATTCAGCTAAATATCAATGATAAAGGCCCATGTATGCATTTTTTTGAAATCCACAAAAGGAAAGCAAATAAAAGAAAAGAACTCCGTGATATGTATATTGCTAAATCCAAAAGAAAATTCCTCGCATCTGGTTTTGGAGTTCTACTATTTTTAAAATTTCCCTATACCAAAGCTAAATGTCAATATCCAATTTTACAAAAGAATGTTTTGGTTGTACTGTTTTAACATTCATGTTTTTAACGACGACTAGTTATTGCTATACATTTACGGAGTGTGATGGTAAGAAGAAACCTAATTCAGTGGTATCTTTTTTATTTGATTGTATTAAAATACAGATAAGTAAGTTTTCTACCATTAAAACTACTGTGTTGTTATCTGATGCTGCAGGAGGACAAAACAGAAATTTAACTGTAACAAGAGTTTTATCGTGGTTTGCAAGAGTATTCCAAGTAACTGCTGCCATACAACTGTTTCCGGTTAGAGGCCACAGCTTTTCCCAATGTGACAGAAATTTTGGTTTGATCAACAAGACTGTTAACAAAGCTGAAGTAATAGGAAGTCCTAAGTCATACCTTACTGCTATGGTAACATGCAGGAAAAATCCTGCGCTCTTTGAAGTAAAAATGAACAGTGACCTTCTTCAAGGTTGGGACTCTTTCATTAAACTTTTTTTCTTGCCTAAACCTGTGTCCAGAAACAAAGTTCCCTTCAAAATTATGAAGTACGTTAATATAAAATATGATCGTAACGGTGGCATTTCATGTTCCCGAAGTTTTACAGAAAACTTTGAACTACATATACAGATTTTAGAAACAAGGAGTACAACAGTTTCACATTATCAATACAACTAAATGTCCCAGACCAGAGGTGAACCAGAAGAAAGTTGAAGATGTTACAAGCCTTTTCAGATTCCTAAATAAAGAAGATGTAAACTTTATTAAATATGAAATGTTGAATGGATAGTTTAATTAATTATGTATTAAAAATGTAATATATAATGTATTAAAAAAAGTATATAATTCTATAATGCTTGGTTTTCTTCACATGCAAATTAATTTCAATCAAAAATCGCCTGTTCTATCTAAAAAGGGCACATAACAGCTTTTTGTGTTTCCTTATTTTTAAACATAAGCTTTATTTTTATCGATGTCATACTTAGAAAATGGCTTTCTAGATAAATAGTTTTAATGCGTAGTAAGCTTCTCAACAACAAATAAGTTTTTAAACAACAAATTAGTATCTATAGCAATAAGTTAAAATTTCAAAGTGGTTTTTCTCAAAACCCACTTTTGTGCTATGTGCCCTTCTCACGTAGACTGCCTCAATTATTAATTTATTAAATAGGTAAAAAGAAATAAGAATAAGACTTACAATCAATTTATTCTACGACCAACTACCGGTTTCGCATACTATAATTTGTTATTCATCTTCAGGTCAATGGTAAACTAAATGCTGAAAATATAATAACCCGTATTAGGGTGCTGTTTGGTAGAGAATATATAGGAATTATGCCAATATTATATGTGCGATTATTAAATATGAATTTAAATTGATTAAATAAAAATAAATGAAAAACGATCTAGTAAAATTGAAATTAAATAAATAAATCTTACTTACATGTCGATACAAGGATTATTATATAGTTTAAAAATCCGTTTTCTATCTATCGTATCGATGTTTTCTTAAACTATAATCGACAATACCAAAAAAAATGGTTTATTGAAATATAAGCATTTAAAATGATATGTATTGGACATCTAAACATCTTAAGTAACTCTTAAATAGTTAAATTAATCTACAAATATTATTTTTAGCACAGATGCTTAAATTTCGTAGCCAAATCAAAAAGACAGCCTCCAACCATCCGAGATGTTTTTAGATTGTATGCTGCTATGACTAGGGGCACTACCATTAGAGATCTCTGCATTAGATTTAACCCTTCAAATCTTCGAATTAATGAGCGAAAACTGGTACAGTTTGGGGTGTTGGAAGGGATCATTCGCAGGGTACACAAATATCCTGTAATTTTATCGGATCAATCTGATTTGGAAAAAAGTTTATCAGGGGCATCAAGTTTAGATGAGCTGTGTTGTTCCATTGGAGTGTCTTCACAACAGCTGGAAGATCAGTTAGAAAGAGATCATAATGTTATGTTATTATGGAAATAAATATTATTGTTTTTATTATAGAAATATTTTTGAATTAATATATTCCGATAACCTATCACGAGTGAGACTATGGGTACCACAAGGACAAGCTCAAAAGAACACTTCTGGGAACCATCTATTTAAAAGCTTTTGACGGTTGGCGAACTCGACAAAATTGATCAACTAACCAAATTATGATGATCCACTGTAAAATTTTATAATTTTAAAAATTACGTAAGTATATTTGGTTGTAAACTGATTTTGTTTACAGCCCTGTAATTTTCAAAGTGAAATAGGTGGTGAAATAAAATCCTTCCTTTTGTTTTTATTAAATTCACTCTACTCTGTATGTCTAGACGGCTGAAATATTCCTTACAACAATAAAATTAAACCTGCTTAAAAAATATACTCCCAAAACAGTAAGTATGTTAAAAATTCTTGCGGAAGAAACATACAAAAATTTGTGTACACTCCTGCGGTGTGTGCCACCGATTTTTCTCGCTCTCTCTCTCTCTCTCTCTCTCTCTCTCTCTCTCTCTCTCTCTCTCTCTCTCTCTCTCTCTCGCTCTCTCTCTCAAGTGTTCACAAGAAAAAAAAATTGTTACAGCGATTGTGAAACCAACAACTTTGTGTAACAATGTATTGTACCTGTTTCTGTTACCTATAGTATGTAGAGAAATAAAAGTTTGTCTAGTGTTACTCGTATTCTTTACGTACTACATAGACGCTCAAAATAATACAGTCCCCTTAACAACCTCAGAGAATAAAGGCGGGATAAGTTAGTAGAAGGTTAAAAGCACGTAGAATCACACAAAATTCCATCTCAAACCGCCTGCATTTTCTCCATGGTCTATCTTCGAGTCGTATGGATTCTCCATAATTAGCTCCCTACAATTATAGCCTGACCGACTTGGAAGGTACACAGTAGCTGCAGGAAGCAGACGCAAGTAGACATATGCCTTCCCGAAAGCCTACTGTATTGAGGTAAACTGTTTCTTTAAAAAACAAAGTGCAGTGATAGCATTAACCTTTTCACTGCGGCTAGTTATAAAAGTAGTATGGTTTCTGGTACGGCTGTTTCATGTCTGTGCTGATCAACACGGTTCCCGCAGTCAGTCGATGAAGTACTATGGCGTATAAATACGGTTCCCGCAGTGTATCACTACAGTGTATTCAGGACTGTATTTACAATTTTGTAGAAGTAACTATAAATTTGTTGCTGTTAGATTCTTGAAAAATAAAAAAAAAATAATATACTGAAAAATTATTATTATTTTATTTATTATTAGTAATTGTATCAAGGTAAAAACTACAAACAAAATGGTACACAAAACATTCAAATGCAAAATTTTAATAAAAATTTTGATTACCTACATTAAAAGGAAAATTTAAAATTTAATACGTGGTATTTTTCAAAACATGCTGTAACGCATGGAGGCACATTAAAGACTATGCAAGTATAGTCTGCAACACTACAAAAAAGACATTCAAATGCAAAATTTAAATAAAAGTTTAGACTACATTAAAACAAAAATTAAAAATTTTTTATGCAATGGTACTTTTCAAAACATGGAGTAACGGATAAAGGCACATTACACGCTATGTAAGTAAAGCGTTTAAAAAACTACAAACAAATGGTACATAAAACATTCAAGTGCAAAATATAAACAAAAATTTTAACTACATTAAAAGGAAAATTAAAAGTTTTTTATACAATGGTATCTACTTTTCGATACATGGTGTAACGCATAGAGGCACATTACAGGCTATGCAAGTACAACGTGTAAAAAACTACAAACAAATGGTACACAAAAACATTCAAATGCAAAATATAAATAAAAGTTTTGACTAAATAAACAGGAAAATTCAAAAATTGTTATACAGTGGTACTTTTCAAAACATGCTGTAACGCATAGAGCCATATTACAGGCTATGCAAGTATAGCGTGTAAATAACTACAAACAAATGGTACATAAAACATTCAAATGCAAAATATAAATAAAAGTTTTGACTACATTAAAAGAAAAATTATAAATTGTTTATACAATGGTACTTTTCAAAACATGCTGTAACGCATAGAGGCACATTACAGGCTATGCAAGTATAGTGTGTAAAAAACCACAAACTAATGGTACACAAAATATTCAAATGTAAAATATAAATAAAAGTTTTGACTACATTAAAAGGAAAATTAGATAGAAAAAATAGAGGCACATTATAGGCTATGCAAGTATAGCGCGTAAAAAACTACAAACAAAAATGTTTACAAACGAAAATTAAAATTTTTTTATAGAATGGTACTTTTCAAAGCACGGTGTAACGCATAGAGGCACATTACAAGCTATGCAAGTATAGCGTGATTCTTTCCGAACCTTGTGCTTCGCACATACAACACACCGTTTACATGGTGGTCTTTTATTTTCTTCGGTGGCCTGATACATTGTGGGGAAATGTCTCTCAATAAGGCGTAATAGTGAATGGGCATCTTCCGGTTTACGACTTGTTGAGGCACGAGGTTTGATTTTCTTATGCTCAGCAATAATTTCTTTAACCAGTGTTAGTTGAAAATCTGCAAGGGGAATATTCTTTCCACTGGTTATATTATATAAGACATGAGCATTTAATAAACTTAAGTCTAACAAATGAAAAAATAACTTTTTGTACCACTTTATCGACTTCCTGACAGATTCAGTGCTACTGAGAAGCATGTCTGTTTTGTCTACAGTTCCCATATTAAAATTATAATCCAGCAGACATTCTGGTTTCTGGATAGAAACATTGTTCTTAGTTTTTTTTCCACTATCTTTCATGTTGCTGGAGTGAAGTGTCGTAAGCATTGTCACTGGGCGTCTATCTAACCACTTTAGCGCCTGCATATTTGTAGTCTTGTAGCCAACTACTTGACCTTTACGTAGGTTTTCCGTCATGGGTGGCATATGTTGTCTATTTGATTTTACCGTTCCACACGCATTCGTTTTATCATTATACAGCTTATCAAATAAGAGCGGACTGCTGTACCAGTTGTCCACATACAACGTATGGCCTTTATTCAAGTAAGGCTCTATTAACGTATATACAATATTCCCAGAAATTTTTAGGTCTTTATCGAAGATTTTAATTTCAGTATTAGAATCAGTATAAATTATAAAGTCCAAAATGTAGCCTGTCTCGCAGTCACACAAAACGTAGAATTTAATTCCAAATCTGTGTCTTTTAGAGGGTATATATTGTTTAAATGCTAGTCTTCCCTTATAAAGCATCAAACTTTCGTCGATACAAATGTTTTTAAATGGATAGAGAAATCTACGAAAAGCGGTATTTAAATGGTCTATAACAATTCGCAGCTTAAAAAGGGAGTCTTCTTTATCAACAGTATTGTTATCTGAAAAATGTAACATACGCAACAGCATTAGATATCTATCACGTGACATAATTTGGGAAAAAATGGGCGTAGATAGGAAACTGTCAGTAGACCAATAAGAATTTATTTTTTGTTTTCGCATTTGAGGCATAAGGAACGATAAAGCTAAAAAACAATACACTTCATCCACATCAGTGTCTTTCCAATTTGCGACACGAGAATTTTGTTCAATATCACTATGTTCCACAACGTATTTGTAAAAATTGTTAATTTCAACAACAATTGCATTGATAAGAGTCAAAGAAAAAAATGTTTTAAAACTATTTAAAACACTTGGACTACTTTTTAAATTTTCATTCAAACACCCTGATCTATTGTTATTAAAATTGTGAACTATTGGTTGCAGATCTCCCTTTTCCCATTTATATAACGGAATCTTTTCATATTTACGACGTTTAGCTTGTTGATTCTGAAGAGAAGTAGATTCCGAAGTTAAAGCACTATTTGCACTAACCTGTGTTGATGATGGTAGAGTTTCTTCATTATCATTTTCCTCTCCAGATTCATCACTTTCTGAATCAGATTCTTGAAGAATACACTCATTCTCACTGTCACTTTCCATTAAAATTTCATAAAGTTCACTTTCGCTAAGATATTTGCGGTTATGAGCCATTTCACTAAGCAATTGCTTTTATTAGTTAAGAATATATAATAAATTTAAATTTAAGAAGCACCCACTTATTTTTGTAAAAACAGTACACACTACTAGTGTAGAATCGTTTACAATACTATAATCCTAATAAAATAGACGCTGCGCGCAAACCGAAGAAGGGATGCATTTATGGAAGAAATAATCTCAAAATTATCAAGTCTGTAGTTTCCGACTTCTTTGAATATTCATAAAAGGTTTTCAAATGGTCAAGTATTATAAATTCTTTATATTATAGAAATAATCCAAAAGAGATGTTTTGACAACAATAAGTCTTTCAATTCGGTTAAACTTAAATAATATTAAAATATTTATATCCTAAATTTCAGGTAGTAAATAAAAATCTTTCAACAATACCCTACAATATGACAAGCTGTCTCCAACCGTCTTTACTATTGACTAATTAATGCAATAGGTAATAAAATTATTTCAATTTGAATAATTCTTACCTGCCTGTTAACCATTCTGTAAAAGTTGATAACAATTCTTTTGTATTTACTAAAACTCATAATTCGATAGTATTTTTCCTATTTTTCAAAATAGATATTATTTATATTTATTATAAGATATAACATAGGGCATTATTTAATATATATATATATATATATATATATATATATATATATATATATATATATATATATATATATGTATATATATATATATATATATATATATATATATATATATATATATATATATATATAATAAAGTTTTATTTTAAGGTTGCAGTCATTAATAGGAAAGGATAAGTGAAACTCTTTGTTCTTATATCAAGCTTTCGCAAAATTTATTTGCTTCTTCAGGATATGCTAAAATATGGTATCAGTAAATACAATGAAATTAGAATTAAAAAACATTGTATAAAACTAAAATAGTATAAAAACTTACAAATGTAATTAGTGTTAATTAATTTTAATGTTTTTTCAATTTAATAATTTAATATATTAACCTCATGTTGTAAGTTTTTATACTAG